TTTTGTGACACTGTTGTTTTGAAAAGCTACTTTACATATTTCAGGGACTTTTATTTTGAACTCCCCTTTTTATTTCATGCCGTTTTACTATTTCAGGCTGTTTTACCGTTTCATGGTCCAATATGCAAATGAGGGGGCGGAGTTCTTGCTGTGGTTTGGGATTCAGGAAATTATCTGCTTCACCACCAGAGGGGGATATTCCCCTGCCTGGCCTTTCTTCATGATTAAACGTTCATTTATTTAAATAACACACAGACATATGTCCATAAATGAGTTGAATGACTGTCACTCTGTGATTATAAAGGCTTTGCAGAGATACTTATGGTGGCTTTTGGCCAAATAGTCCTTATTTTATCACTCAGATTAAAAATAGCGTTTTTTTTCCGGGTAGGTCAGAGCTTTTTTGGCCAAGCCGAATTGTTAAACATCTTTCCAAATATGTGGCCTTCAAGTTTCATGCGGCCAGCACCTTCCTGTCTCGAGTTATGGTTAAAATGGTCTGTTTTCAAGTAGAGTTCTCTACAGTCACTTGGATGTCTGTTTATGTGCAATCACTGCAGAGAACTCTACTTAAAAACAGACCATTTCTAATACATGTTCTAAACCACTTAAGAAATGGACCAAAAAAAAGACAACCCATTTTTGCTTTTCCCCTTTTATCAAGCCTGAGAGGCAGACCCTCGCAACAATGTATGTTTGTGTTTTTACCTTTTCATCATCACAACAGCAGCAGCAGCAGCAGCGGATGAGGACYAGGATGATCAGCACAAGAACCGTACCTGAGCACAGCAGAGCAGTGACAAAAAGCACACAAWGGTCTTGGATCTTTGTTCAAGGATGATCTCACTTATGAGCTACAAAACAGCAGTTTCATCAGTTTTCACTCACCGAAGAACGTAAAGAAGAGCACAAAAGCAGCAATGTCCCAGTCTGACTGAAATAACTGCTTGGACTGCAGTCTGGAGACCACATCGGTAAACTGCTCTTCAAACTGCTGCTGGGTGTTCTGACCCATCTTTGTCTGCTTTCACAAACACACAAATGACACACTGCAGTTAAGTTTTGTATTTAAGTCTAATCCAAGCCTCTGATCCAGCAGCTCGGAGAACCTTATTCAGCAGCACAAACTGGTTTTCTGTGGTTTTATCATCGCTCACGGAGGAATTTTAGCCTACTCTTTTTCCAGTGTTACCGGACCACTGAAACACCCCGATTCTTTTCTTTCTCAGGTGTTCTGCTGTAGATAAGCTAATGTGTTTAGGATCTTTGTCCCATTACATCATGACCCAGTTTGGTCCAAGCTTCAGCTGTCAGACAGACAAACTCACGTTTGACTTTAGAATTGTTTGGTCCACAGAGGAGTTCACGCTCGACTCAATGACCACAAGGTGCTCAAACCATCAGCCCTTCATCACCGTGCTTGACAGTTGATGTGAAGTTTTTGGTTTTCTCCCATCATGCTGCTGTGTATTATGGGTAAACATCTTCACTTTGATCTCATCTGTCTAATTCAGAGGTGCCCAAATTTGGCCCGCCAAGCCATTTGACTTAGCCCACTAGCAGTTTTCCTGGTTAATAGATTGTAATCTCCTGTTTTATGTAGAAATACTATATTTACACGTAGTCTTTTCAAACATTGGTCCAACTATAGGTACAAGGAGCTGTAGTCAGATAGTCTTAACTTATGGTGGTACTTTATCCTTGAATTATGTTAAGATTAGACTTAAAATACAAGTAACCTCAAGAGACATTTATATTAGATTTAAGTTCATTTCTAGATTTACACACCTTATAAGACCMCATATTCTCAAATTTTAAATTACGAAATGTCCCATGAGCCTTTGCTGCCTAAGAAAACGTTGAATTTTCTCCATGTCCATGGGCTGAAACAAATAAAAAAATGTGGGCAGCCACACTGGCTGCTAGCTTAATCATAAAAATACAACTTTCCTTGAAGTATTTTCATTTTGTGTGTTATATTATTGCATTTGGCCCACCACCCTCAGATTGATTTTAATCTTGGCCCTTTCAGAGAAAATGTTTGGGCACCCCTGGTCTAATAGTTGCAGAAGTCTCCAGATGCAACCTGAATTAGTCTTTGTTCCTTTTAGAAAGAGGTTTTCTTTTCCATCTCAACACTTCTGTTCAGTCATTTTTTTCTCTCCTTAGCATTTTAATAACACACAATAAACTGACAAAACTCCTATTTTTCTATAAGTGATCRCTCTGATGTCGATCAGATTATCAATACATTTGTTCAGCAGCTCCTGGCTGATATTTTTACTCTCATCTACAATAAGAACAATGAAAAAGGACTTAAATAGCTGATGTCAAGAAAAGAGCCGCTGCACGTCAATGGAGATTTTTGAAAATAGAGGAAACTTCACAGTTTACATTAGACTAAAGTTGTTTTGATCATTTATTAAGGTATCTTTGGTCCTGTTTATATGAAGCAGATTTAGTGAGAAACCACAGGCTTTGTGCTGAAGGTTTGTTTTTCAACTGACTTGTAAAGGTTGTAGCCCACATTAAAAGGTGGTAAAAGTTCTGAAATGTGTTATCTTTGCCTCATTTTTTTACATCATGTAAACCTGGCATTTTAACAGAGGTGTAGATTTATCAAATATAGTTAACTTCATTCAACAATCATGTAAAACAGCTGGATAAGGACAATATAAGTAACAATTATCAAAACGAGATACAAAGTCAGTCAATAACTTGGAATTTTCAGCTAGTTAAAGAATTATGACTTCAACTAGTAGCCTAATAATATATATATATAT